CTCTTTCGCCCTCCCTGCCAACCGCCCGCCTTTCTCTCAAATACACTCCACACCCACCTCGGAAGGTGGGGGGAGCGGCTGGAAAGGAGCCCTGTCAGGCCTGGGGCTCTGGGGCTAACGGGCCTGAGAGCAAGGAGGCGGAAGGTGTGTGGGGGGGTGCGGGCGGAGGGGGGCCACCCTACCTGGCCCGGTGCCTCCTCCCCAGAGGCTGCCTGTGGCACAGAGCCCGGTGGGCTCAGGAGGATGGAGGGAGGCCAGACTTCAGGAGCCAAGCTAGACTGGACTCTCCCAACGCGCGTGGGTGCTCTTCAGGCCTGGTGTGGATGATGGGAAAGGTAGTCCTAGGCCCTGCTGAGGGAGGGCTGGGGCTACAGCTTGGCACCTGGCCCGGTGCCTCCTCCCCAGAGGCTGCCTGTGGCACAGAGCCCGGTGGGCTCAGGAGGATGGAGGGAGGCCAGACTTCAGGAGCCAAGCTAGACTGGACTCTCCCAACGCGCGTGGGTGCTCTTCAGGCCTGGTGTGGATGATGGGAAAGGTAGTCCTAGGCCCTGCTGAGGGAGGGCTGGGGCTACAGCTTGGCACTGCATGGCAATGATGCCACAGAACCGTGCCCCGCAATACCACCCTGGGTGTGAGGCTCAGAGGAAGGGGGCAGGGTGGCGGGTGAGGCCCTAGGGTCCCGCAGGGGGTCTTGTTTCGATGCCAGCCATGGCTTCAGCCTGGCAGCGCCACCAATGGCCTCACCTGGGCAGCAAGAGACCCTCTCTGGCTTTGGGTGGGCACTCGGGGGGTCTCCTCTCCCTCTGAGGCTCTTCGTAGCTCTCTGTTGAGGTGCAGGAAAGCTCTTCTCTGATCTTGTGGCAAGCCAGGTGCGTGTGTACGTGTGTGTGTGTGCATGTGCGTGCTTGCACGCACAGACAGTCTTGTCGGTGTTGGCATTTGGGGTTGGACACACCATCCTTGCAGGTGCCCACCACCTCCCCTCCCAGGTGCCAGCTGCAGGGGCTGAGTCTGCTCTGCTCGGCGGGGCCAGGAGGGTCCTGAGAACCCCCCCTCAGAGTCGAGAACCGGATCGCTCCCCACCCACCCCCTCCCCACGGGGTGGCTCTGTGCTGAACCACTGCCACGGGGCACGCCAAATCCCTCTGTGGCATGTCCGAAGGAGGCAGATGGGGAAGTGATGCACGCAAGAACACAGGCGGGCGAATGGTGGCGGCTGCAGCCCTGCAGGGGAGGGGAGGGGAGGGGAAGGGGGGGGCCAAAGAGCCTCTCCCTCCTGCTGAGATGCAGAGAAGCGGTTCTTCAGGCAGCTCCAGGACTTGATTCATTAGGACAGCAACCCTCTCCCTTTTGGCTGAGGGGGAGGATCCAAAGGGGGGGGGGAGAACTCCTCCTGCTCTGCCTCCTCAGCCCCCTTCCTTTCTCCAGACACACAGACCACCCCCTCTCCCCCCCACCTTAGAGAGGCTCTGGGTGGCGGTCTCTGGAGGACTCCAGCTGCCCACGGGGGGGGGCATCCTCCGAAGGCCTTCCTCTTTCTACCGGGGGGGGGGGCTCAGATAGGGTCGGGGGTCCTGAAATCAGCAGAAAGACAGGGCAGAGGTCCAGGAACAACAGAAGGGGCGAAAGGACAGAAGCGTCTTGCAGCCCCCTTGGAGACTAGCAGGTCTATTCACGGCGAAGCGTCTTGTGGCCGACGATCCACACGAGCGGAAGCACCTGTCTGTCTTTGTCTTTACGGTGCCACCAGGTTCTCCCTTTTTATCCTGTCCTGGAAGAGACCACTGGCGCCACGGCTGTGGAAGCAGACAAGAGCCGTCCAGGGAGTGCCGCTCTGTCGCTCCCACACCCTGCCCCACACTTCGAGGGAGAGGAGGGGAAACGGACCCGACGGGGCCTGTTCCCTCCCTCCCTCCCTCCGGCAAGGTGTGTTTGCAGGAGAAATTCCCCAGATCAGGCTTGCTTTTGAAAGAAAGAGCTTCCAAGCCACACAAGACTCTCCTTCAGGCAGAAAAGAGGATGGGAAGGCGGCTCCAGCAGCTTCAGGCAGGTCCAGAGGTTTCAGCACCTTGGACAGCTCAGGCCAGGCCAGGCCAGGCGGCGGCTCCTTGGCTCCAGCAAAGGCCAGACCCAGCCCATGCCTTAAGCAGGAGGTTGTCTTCCTGAGCCTGCCCGCCCCCCCTCGCCATCCCAATTCCTGGGGGGCGTCTGGGACGGGCTTTGTGAGCCCTTCTTGGCCGGCCGGGCCGGCCCACTCACTCCCTGCTCCTTGCTTGCCCTCCTAGTTCACATCCTCTTTCCCAAACCACCACTCTTCCATCGTCCGCATGGAGTTGCTGGCCTGGTGGGCATTTCCATCCCTTGGTCCGTCTGTCCGTCCCTCGCCCCGGAGGGGCTGCATCCTCGCAGTCTACCCGGATGGCCGCTCTCTGAGAAGCTGTTCCTGTTCTCCATGTGTCTCATCATCACCATGGTATCAAAACTCCCAACGGGATTCAAGGGGCCCTGAATTCCACCCCAGAGTTCTTGGCCCCGTTCTCCTCAATCAGAGCAGCTTGTTATTTAAATAGCTTGTTCCTTCAGCTCCCGCGGGCTCACGTAAAATAATCACAATAATGAGGAGGAGGAGGAGGAGGAGAGTACATCGTAATGGTGGTGAATGGGTTCTTGGGAAGGTTCTTGGAAGCTCTGGGGTGCCAGGGTGGGGGTGGGGGTGGAGGCAGCTTTCAGGTCCCCTCCTTTTGGCCCCTCCGGAGGTGTTAATCCCAGGGGTTCGGGAGGGGGCAGCTTCTTTCTGCCCACTTTCTGCCCCCTCCCTCATCTGAGGCTGCCTAGTCTAGTCTCTCCATGGGGCTCCAACCTTTCAGCCAAAGTCCTTAACATTAAAAATCTATTTCTACACAAGTGGGAAATGGCAGCTACTCATTTTCTCCATCCTCCCTCTTTTCAAGTCCTGCCCCCCCACCCCCACCCCGGACCCTCAAGAGACGGCAGGCAAAAGAAGATTTTCCTTCTCTCTCTCTTTCCACGGGAACCCAGGAGGGTCATAGCCTGAAGCCCAAGAGGAATTCGTCCTTCTTCCCCCAGGGCAGAGGTTACCCTGTGAAACTCCCTGCCACAAAGGTGGTGTGAGGGTGGCTCTGATTTTGTAGGGGCTTCGGCCTTACCTTCTGTATCAGAGGCTGCCTCTCTTTCCCCCCCCTTTCACCCCGGGGGGTGGTGGAGCAGAGAGTTCACGCCTCCATTTCACACACACACACCCCCAAGCCCCCTCTGCCACATAGGAGTAGGGCTGCTCTTTCTCTCTCTTTCTCCCTCTGCTCCCCACCACCTCCTTTACAGGGGAACACAGCTGGCGGTTCCCCAGGGCTGCCAGAAACGGAACGCCTGGGCTCCACTCCATGGGTGTGTGTGTGTGTGTGTGTGTGTGTGTGTGTGTGTGTGTGTGAACCAGCCAGTCTGGACGGGACACACTGACCTGCTGGGTGGTCGTGCCTGCCTCTCCCCATCGCCCCCTCTATCGAGAGCAGCTGCACTTCTCGCCGTCCGGGTCATCTCGGTGATTGGATTACGGGCCTCTAACAGGCCCTCCTGTCCGTCTCTCTGTCTGCGTGGCCGGAGCATTGGGACTGAGCAGTCAGGGCCAGGCGGGCCTCCGGTAACTGGATCGGCAGGCAGGCAAGGAAAACTCCCTTCCCCAGCCCCCTGGCTTGCAGGACCTCTGGCCGGGCTGCACAGCCAGCGAATTCGGGGTGGGGGTGGGGGACCGCACACCAGTCGCCCACCCCACCGCACACACAATGACCCAGCGAGGCCTCTTCCCCCATTGCTAAGTTGCCACCCCCAGACACGGGGGAGTACCCTGGGTTGCCCCACACCTCCCGCGCCCTTCCCTCTCTCCCCCCCCCACACCACCCTGCTGAAGAGTTCTTTCCGTGACAGCCTGCCTTGCCGTGGCAGTTGCCTTGCTTTGATCTCACGGTCTTTCCATCCCGCATATTAAAAGTTGCAATTAGTAAAGTGTTCACGGATGAGGCTGCACAGTAGGAAGAGAGGCGCTCTAAATGAAAGCTGAAAGGTTATTCCAATAAGCGCCATCCGCGGACACCCTTGCCAAGAGGAGAAAGGGGCTGGGGGCGATGCGGGGGGGGAAGAGGGAGAAGAGGGATGTGACAAATCTCTTTCTCACCACACAGGCATCACATATTTATACAGTACAGCCCCTCCTCCTGATGTCCCGCCTTCCACTCCCCATAGGATGGAACTTTCCCTCCAAACCCATGACAGACAGGTAACATCAGTGCTGTATGTAACAAGGGAGAGGTCAGCTGGGAGGGGGAGGTTGTCAAGAGAGGGGCAGGAGGGGAAGCCAAAAGGCCAGGACCCCAGAGACGTTGACTATTGGGAGAAGCCCCATTTATCCAATACCACAGCAATTTCCCTCACAGAAAACTTTTAGCTGCAGTACAGCGTTTTAACCACTGCGCCACAGCAATTTCCCTCACAGAAAATGTGCTTAGGAAGGGATTTGTGGGTGGGTGGCTGGGGGCACCCCTCTGCTGGTGGTCTTTAAACAGAGGTTGGAGGTGGAGTCCTCCGTCGGTGGGGATGGACTAGATGACCCTTGGGAACCCCGGCTGTGATGATGTGCTTCTTTTTTAAAAGTACAGCGTTTTAACCACTGCGCCACAGCAATTTCCCTCACAGAAAATGTGCTTAGGAAGGGATTTGTGGGTGGGTGGCTGGGGGCACCCCTCTGCTGGTGGTCTTTAAACAGAGGTTGGAGGTGGAGTCCTCCGTCGGTGGGGATGGACTAGATGACCCTTGGGAACCCCGGCTGTGATGATGTGCTTCTTTTTTAAAAAAAAACATTGCCTGGTCCTTAGGGGCCTCTTTAAATTCTTCAGCCTTGTGGTGCTTGTGTATGGATTGGCCAGTGCTCAGAAGCAATTACGTTTCCCATGCGAGTCGTCCGCCAGCAGCCTCGTCCAACCCCCCCTTTACGTCCGACCCCCCCCTTTACGCGCAGCTTTGCATCAAGTGCCACCTTTCCAGGAGCAAGGAGCCGGATCAAAAGGCCCATGAAAAGGCCCGGCAAAGGCGGGCCTGCACTTCAGAGGATAAAGGGCCATGAAAGGCGTAGACGAGGCTGCAAGGATAAATGTTATCAGCAGCCATCAGGCGGCGAGAGCGGGACGCCTAGTCCGGCCGCCAGGCACTCTTTACCCCTTCCAAGCAGCCTCGGCCGGCCCTCCGTCAGCCGGGCGTCAGGTGCGATGAAAGGCGCTCCTGAGAAGGAGGTGTTTCAAAGGCACCAAGCGCGCAAGGCCTGGACCAAGGCATGCTTTAATTAGCTGCCCTTCTTCTAAGGCCAGGCTACCCCCCTCTCCCTCTCCCTCTCCTCCACGCTTCTGCATTCCCTGAAACTTTTGCAAACTGGCACTGAGAAGCTGCCAAACTCCCACTTACTGAGAGAGAGAGAAAGGAAGGAAAGTAAAGTGGCTTTGCAACATCATGCCGACTGGATCCGGCGGCCACGCCAAGAGGGCCAAGCCGGAGGGCTCATTTGGGGGGTTCCGCTCAATAATCGGCTTTACTTCGACTGCCCACCAGGAGCCCGGGGGGGGGGATTTTCCTGAAGGATCCCTGAGGCTCCTCTCCCAGGTTGGCTGATCGTCTTCCTCCTTTCCTCAAAGCACCAGCCAGGAATGAGCAAAGGGCACTCCGATTCCCATGAGCCCCCAGCCGGGCGAAAAGCCCTGCCATGGGGATGAGCAGCTGCCTTCCCACCCTTCCAAGGGAGGGCAGGGCAAGTGGGGTCTCCTCCTTCCGTGGTTGGGATGAAACCCGTTCTCCCAGAGGTGCTTGAGCGGTGGGTTTCCGGCAGCGGTGAGGGTGGGTTTGGGTGACCCTTGGGGGGTCCCTGCCCACTCTCAGGTTCTCCTGTTTCATGCTCTGCTGGTCGGGCCCTGGTGGAGAGGGAACCAGTCTGGGGGCAAAGCAGGGGAGGGCGGCAGGCTTCATCCGGCCCTTGGAAGCAAATGGTCAGACCTGGTGTCAGCTGCGCACACCAGAGGCTGGCGAGGCAGAACTGCCCCTCCCTGCCCTGCTTCATCCCCCGGAGGCTGCTGCTCTCCCATTGCAGGCAGCAGCCTCTGCCGATTAGCCCGCTGGACATGTTATTGCTTTCTTCTTCCCAGCGCTTGTTTGCCCGCTCGCCCGCTGGGGCCTCTCCCTGATGGCTGCTCTCCACCGAGAAGTGAGTCGGTGCTAATTTGTTTTGGAGAAGCGCGCATCTTCCGACGGGGAAAAAAGAGGCAACCTTCAGTAGAGTTTTGGAGACGGCGCGACAGAAGGAGGAGGGCGGTCTTCCAGTCCCTGTGGCTCCCTAATTCTCTCTCTCCCTCTCTTCCCCAGCCCCAGAGCAGAGGGCCGCTCACGCAAGGCGCTCAGCCGGGAAGCCCGACGCCGCTTTCCGTTCGCGCCTTTGCTTTGCTGCACGGCGCAGGGCGCCCCTTCTGGCTCTGGCGGGAGGGTCCAGGGGCCGAGGGCCAGCTCCGCCTGCAGACGGTCCCGGGGCAGATCCTGGCAAAGGCCAGGCGTGGCAGGGACGACTCCAGCAGAGAAGCTGCGGAGCGCCCGCCCCTCCGGGGGAAGCAGAGGCTGGGCAAGAGGGATCCGCAAGAGCGGGGGAGGAAGGAAAGAAGAGGAGGAGAGGCCAAGGGTCCCCAGCCCAGAGAGCAACTGAGGAAGAGCCGTTCTGGGGGCCCCTGGAGTGTTCTGGGGAGACACCGTCCTCCCCGTGGTAAATGGCCAAGGGTCCTGGACAGGGAACCCCGGCCTGCTCGCCCTCCCGGCCTGTCCTCCAGGAAAGGCTCGCTGGGGAGCTAAGCAGCAGCTTCAAGGACCCTGATCTGCCTCCTGCCCACCCTACCCCCCCAGTCCTTCTGGACTTGGAGCGGACGCTCCCCCCTGAAAGAGACCTTTCAGTCAAGGACTCTGACCTGCAAACCAGGAGAGTTGTGGGAGCGCCCCCCCACACACACACACAGAGGCTGCCTTCCTGCTCAGCCCGGCCCTCTGAGAGCACAGCCCAAGCGGTGCTTTTCTGCCGGAGCCTTCCGGAGCCCTGCTCCGCGTGGACCCTTTGGGGGCTCAAGGGCAGCCTGGCCACAGGGCCAAGGGAAGCCGTGGGGCTCCGCTGTGCCCCTGCGCTGGCGCCAGCGGTCCAGAAGCCGGGCAGGAGTGGGTAGACTGTTCTCCCCCTGGAAGGCCCTTTTTAATAACATTGTCCTTGGCTTTTATTGCAAGGGTTGTGTGGGGGGGGCAGTAATGGGAAGAAATGACCACAGTTAACTCTCCAGCACACAAGCACACGCTTGACGCCGGAAGGCCAGGCACCCGGCGAGGAGGCGGCCGGCCGGCCTGGCGTTCATTCGTCTGGTTCAGGCAAAGGGCCCCACGGGGAGGTTTGGGGCCCAGCTGCAAGGCCAGATAAAGCTGGAGTTTCAGCCGGCGGTATTGATTTTCCAGATTATTGCAGCGCAGAATTTATGGCTGGCTTTAAAACTGCAATAAGTGGCAAGCTGAGCGAGCGGCTGGCTGGCTGGGGGGGTGGGGGTTTCTGCGTGACCTTGAAGGTGCCTTTCCCCTCCTCACCCCTTTCTTGCTACTCACGGACAGAGCTGGACTCAACTTTGGGGGGGGGGGGGGAGGGAAGTATAAGCGGTCGCTCTGGTTGGGAGTTGAGGGGAAGCCGCCGCCACCACCGCGGTACCTCCAAGCCGGTGGGCAAACAAGGGGAGGTGGGCGTATAAGCGGTCGCCCCTCGGGGTGCCCTGGAAAGGGCAGGCTTTCTTGGTGCCAGGCTCCTCGTCTTTCAGAAAGTCCTGCTCAAGCAAGCTCTGCCTCAGGAAGGGGCCCGGGAGGGAGCCCACGGGAGGGATGGCCAGGAGGGGCCCCATGGGCGCAGAGCAGCCCCTGCCCAGCAATGCGGAAGGTGCCCCCCCAGGTTTGGCCCCCTTCCTTCCAAAACGAAGCCTGGAGGGTGTGGAGGGGCCCCTCTCTGTGCCAGGCGCCCTGGAGAGAGGCTGTTGGCAGCCAGAGAGATGACCCCAGGGCGAGGAACCGCGTCTTCTCCGGCATCCATCTGTGAGCTCCGAGGGGGGGGGACGTGCTTAGCATGCCAAAGGCCCCCCCCCGTGTCATCCTCAGGGGCATCTCCAGGGCGTGCTGAGAAAGACCCCTGACCCGCCAGCCGCAGAGAGCCCCAGCTCTCCGTCAGCGAGGGAGGCTCAAGGGAGGGAGGCCGAGCAGGGTGCTGACTCAAGAGGAGACCCGAGAGGCTCTCCTGTGCTGAGGAAAGGGGGAGGGGGGCAAATGAGATTTCGGCCAGACGTTCTCCTGGGAGGGGAAGCGGGAGGTCGAGTGCCCAGCTGGCAAAGAGGGAAGGGCTTTCCCCCTCCTCCTCAAGGGCCCTGGCATTCCCACCCGGGGCAGAGCTCCACAGGTTGGCAGCCCCCCCCGTGGACCCCCCCCCAGCCCTCTCGCCTTCCGGGTCATAATTGCGATTAAGGCGCAGCTTGCCTAACCAAATTATGCAAAGACAAAATTATCTCTTATGATTTTTATGTTCCGGAACTGCTGGGGCGATTACGGGGGGATTGGAAACAGCTGTCACTCGATCAGAAACGATAACTCTTAACAGCTGGGATCTGTCAGTTATTTATGACGCTGTTGTCCGCGGAGTGTGTGTGCGCGTGGGGGGGGGAGGAGGAAATGATACAGGGAACGGCTCCTGCGCAGCGTCCGCCAGCCTGCCCGTCTCCAGCGCAGCTCGTAGGCCTCGGAGCCCGGCCTGGGTGCTCAGAGAAGGCTGTTCTCCTTGGCGGGCCAGGGAAGGGAAAAGTTTGGACAATGAGACGCGTCTCCTGTGCTTGAGTGTCTCCCCCCCCAAACCTGCAGCTTTCAGCTGCCTCCTCTCTGAGCGATCCTGTCTGCCCACGTGGTGTTCTGAGCAAATACGGACTTCAGAAGGACAAGCACCCCCGCTTGGCTATTAGTGACCGGGGCCCGCCTGGCAGTTTGGGGAGGGGGGTGTCCTCCAAGAAGAGGTGAGCCAAGTGGCAGGGGAAGGCGGGGCCTCCACAGCAGTAGCAGCAGCAGCAGCAGCGGTGGGTCCCGCTCCGAAGGAGGGCGACGGGAGGCCTTTGCCTGGCGCGTCTCCTGCCCAGTTTGTCTGGTTGCTCTTCTCGGGGGTGAAGAGGATTCCTTGAACTAATTGGCCAATTACATGTTATTCATCTTAGTGAGTTCCAAGGTGCCTCCCTCCTCTGACCCCTGGCTTCCTCCTTCACAACCCCCTGGACCACCTGGGGGGGGTTGTGTCAGGGCTGCAGGGTTGGGCC